TCTTAGTTCATACTATAATTCAAATCCTTCTAATTATCATATTGGCGTCGCGATGGGGCCTGCGTTGGAACAGTTAGATATTCATTCAACTTCTGAAGCTTTTGAGAACTATTTCGAAAGGTTTCAAATCTGGAGCATGACCAAGAAAGATGATGAGGATATTAATATTGTGGCACATTTTCTCACATTCATTGGCAAAGAAGCATATAGCTTATTAAAAATTTAGGCTTTACCGGAAAAGCCCATTTCTCTTCCTTATACAACTCTGAAGGAACTACTGCTGGACCATGTTAAGTATACAAATACCGAATGCGGTAAAGGGAGATTTCGTAAGACAATTCATGAGGACGAATAATTCCGCTACATTACGTCACCCCATCCCAGTGCATACTCAAGGTTATGCAGATAATTCATTAAGGAGTTGCAATACAGTTCACGAAGATGGGCACGTTTGGTCAATGGTTGCTCTGTGGCAAGTTCCACTCTTTTAATTCATGTAAATTTCGTAATTCTAATTGCTTTAGATGTGATGATGTTGGACATATTCACTCAGTTTGTAATTCTGATCCTAATAAGTTGAGTATTTATAATCATTTATCTTTATCAACGACTTCAAAAGACAATTAAGAGTAATATGGCTGTTCATGGTTAAATGAAACTCAGAATCCTTGCGAGAAAACAATTTCTAAAAAATCAACATATCAGCTTTCTCATGTTATTGTACCAGATATGATTTTTCCTAACGATTCACATATTTCTGGTGAAATTTCTTGCAAATCTGGTGAAAATATTTCGAATGAACCTAATGATGATAAAAAAAACTGATGTAGTTTTGATTGATGCTGATTTTTCTAACGATCCTTTACTCTGCAATGACATTCTTAATAAATTTGAGGAAACTATTTCAGAAGAATCAAATCTTGGTGTCATATCAAATATTATTTGTCCTCATGATGCATTTGTTTTTTGTGAGAAACTCGTTCGATGCGAAGCACGAGTATTAAATGAGTTAGAGTTTGATTACAATTCAGATAATTCCATATCAACTGTTGTTTGTCCTTATCACAAATTCACTTTTAATGTTTACTCTAGTCATATTGAGAAAGATGTTTTAAATGAAGCCACATTATTCATAACCTGGGGATATGAAGATCCGACATTATTTCGTGGGGGAGGATAGTCTGTGGTTCATATTCTAGGTAGTCGTTTCAGTATTCAACAGGCATGGTGATCGTTCACAATCCCAGAAATCAAGTGAGTCTGTTCCGATTTCAGTTGTTAATTCTAACACTAATGAGTGCATTCTAGATAATACAGAGTCTTTATCCAATACATTGTCGGACAGACACAGTATGAACTTGAGAAGAAGACGTGCAATCAATTACAGACACCTGAACTCTAATTTAAGCTGTGGCGGATGTGGTGTTTGAATGAACTAATGATTGCTTTGTACTTGTTGAATGTTTGATTTCGAATTCTAAATACAGTGCATTCGTTAGTGCTTGTGTAGTACTTCTTGATTCAATTGCGTTATTTCTGGGATTCTTAGTTCATACTTTAATACATTAATCCTAATTATCATAATACTGCACGTCAAATTCTGATAATTCTTGAAAGCAGGCAGCTATACTAGTTGGTTCTCGAGTGAACTTCACAATATATTTTTGGTCACCATTGATTTACGATTTATCGGTTCAGCGAATTGCCTCGCGCTATGATTTAATAAAATTTTATTCGGCCGAAACTTACTTCGTATAAAACGCTACGAATTTTTCATAAGAGACTGTGACGACGGCCGAAAGGTGAAATAAAGCAAGCTCTAAGTAATCCAGTAGGAGCCGTAGACATTGTCTCCATCCATCTTTCGGAGGAATATCCCAGAATATCTACGTGTCACTTCTCCATTAGACTAATGCTAAAAACCACTACATGATGAATAGATGAATGTAATGATGATTTCGCTTTTACTAAAAACTATGAATACCCAAGAGTTTCGTGTGAGACTTCGTCAGAGAATGATGGCGAAGCCACTCTGGGTGAAACACAAAGCCACTTTAATAGGCTACAGATCTGTTACACTAATGCTCGAAGCTTGCTCAGTAAGCGATCGGAACTAGGTGAACAAATTGACTCTACAGAGCCAGACATAATCGCAGTCACAGAAACCTTGCTGACACAGTCTATAGATAATATGGAACTCGATTTTGAGGGTTTTACTCTAGTAAGGACCGACAGAATACATAAGCGTAAAGGAGGGGGAGTAGCTCTATTCATTAGGAATGCTATCCCGTTTGTCATTATTGATAGTGTATCCCATGAAAGTGGGACGTGTGAATTGGTTAGTTGCCGCTTAAAATTCAAGGGGCAAGAGCTGCTAATTGGTTTGGTCTATCGCAGTCCAAACTGTGAGGTAAATGATGTACTGTTAAACAGGTTCAAAAATTGGTCGCGAAGTGGTCGATGTCTAATTCTAGAGGACTTTAATGCACCTATGGTAGACTGGGGAATTCTGCGAACCGAATCATCAGATAATTCCTTCGAGCAGGAACTAGTTGATGCGGTTATAACACGTGCTCTAGTGCAACATGTGAAAGAAGCGACTAGGTACGACCCGGACACTGAATCATCCTTACTAGATCTTATATTAACTCACTATGAGGATGACGTTGCGAACCTCCTTTACATGCCACTCCTAGGCAAAAGTGATCATGCAGTTTTAACTTTTGACTTCCATATAACTGTCAATCACGAGCGATCGTCAACTCAATCCAGACCTAACGTCTAGAAAGCAAGCATACCAGATATCATGCACTCGGCATCATTAGTAGATCGCACAATAGACCCAGAATCCTAAATTGAAACGGCTTGGGATGCATTCCGAAATTTATACTTAAAAGCTACTGCACCCCACATTCCTTGGACTATACCAAGGGGGCCGAGAAACTCCCCACCATGGTTCAATAGGGAGGTCCGCACCCTTCTCCGTAAGAGAAGAAAAATGTGGGATAGATTTAGATTACTGGGGACCGATGAGACAAAATCTCAATACCGAAAAGCTAGGAATACCTGTGCCTCGACCCTCCGTAAGTCTAGAAGGCTGTACGAAGAAAAAATTGTTAAGGAATCCATAGAATGTCCTAAACGCCTGTATTTCTATATAAACCAAAGGACAAAAAGAAGAGGAATTATTCCTGCACTATGGATAGACAGTACTGCCGCATCATTAGTGGAAGATGACTTTGGTAAGGCTGAAGTGTTCTCAAACTACTTTAGCAATGTATATACCATAGAAGCACCCTTCCTGTCAGCGCATTCAAAACCCCCCACATATACACTGGATAGCGTGACCATAAATGAACTCGATGTCTTTGATCTGCTAAATAAGCTTGACATAGATAAATCCATGGGGCCCGATGAATTGCATCCTAGGCTACCAAAGGAATTATCTAACTTCGTTGCGAACCCTTTAAGTATATGCTTTAAGCTATCCGTTACGCAGGGTCGTTTACCAAAAGATTGGAAGAACGCCATAGTAAGTCCTGTCTTCAAAACAGGTACGAAACATAAACCTGAGAATTACCGACCCGTTAACCTAACTAGTGTGGTTGTTAAAATCTTAGAAAAGATTATTCGGAAAGAGCTGTTCAAATACCTCGATGTAAACCGAATCCTCTCGGAGAAACAGCACGGTTTCAGAATAGGTTATTCTTGTCTCACGAACTTATTAGTCACTCGAGAAAGCTGGTGCGCTTTTAAGGATCAAAAGTTACCTGTAGACGTGGCTTACATTGATTTCAGCAAAGCTTTTGACAAGGTTCCGCACAACCGGCTGTTATATAAGCTAAAAATTGTCGGAATTGGAGGCAATCTATTGACGTGGATAGAAGACTTCTTTGTTGGGCGCCAACAAAGAGTACGGGTGAACTCAAAATTATCTAGCTGGGAAACTGTGCTTAGTGGAGTGCCCTAGGGTATAGTTTTGGGGCCAGTGCTATTCCTCTTGTACGTAAATGACCTTCCTCGCTTACTATCATCATCGGTCTTGCTATATGCTGACGATGTCAAGATATGGAGAACGATACGATGTAAGGGTGATAGCTTAGAACTCCGAAATGACCTGAAGAAATTATCCGAATGGTCTCATACATGGCAGCTGCCGATAAATACTTCCAAGTGTGTTGTGATGCATATCGGTCATCAAGGTTCAGATACATACACGATGAATAACACTGAGCTACCTGTTGTCCAGACACATAATGACTTAGGAGTCATCGTTAGCCAAGATCTGAAGACTACTGCACACTGCCGTGCAATAGCCGCCAAAGCTTTTAGAACTTTATGGTCAATACGTAGGGCTTTTACTCATGTCGACGCTCAAACGTTTTTGACTTTGTATACAGTGTTCGTACGTCCTAAACTTGAGTACTGCATACAAGCGGCTAGCCCCTGCTTAAAAAAAGACAGTGAGCTTTTGGAAAAGGTCCAGAGAACAGCAACTAAGCTGATTCCCGTAATAGCGAAGCTTCCATATGATGCTCGACTGGCCAAGCTAAACCTATTCCCTTTGTCATATCGTAGAACTAGAGGCGACTTGATTACAATTTTCAAATTGCTTAGTGATAAATTTGCACCTGATATGCCCTCATTTTTCCTGTCTTTCAAAACAGAGAATTTACGAGGACACTCCATAAAAGTTCACAAACCCAGAACAAATTACTTCTCAGCTGATTATCGACTTTCCCACCGAATCATCAACGAGCGGAATTCATTACCTCAACACGTGGTTGAAGCTCCATCCGTAGATTCTTTCAAAATAAAGTTGGATCAACTGAGAGAACACAATTACCAGGACTAACACAGGTCATCAAGCCTCCTGTCCTTTCCCAAACTGAAACTGAAACTGTCATTATGAGATTACTGGACTGATGACAAAGTCATTCTTTCCTCCTCATGACGTGTAATAAAGTGCGCTAATGAATGTGAATGTAACAAAAGTCTCTGATGGCTCTAGTTCGAACCGACCAAAGATTTAGCCTCGAGTGTGTTTAATTGATTAAACTTTTCTCGATTTCACAGTGTAATGAAAAAGCGCTGTTTTCGAGACTTCGGATGTTTGCGGTCGTCTGATAATGTAGGTATTAGAATGTTATTTCTTTTTTTTTCTTATATCGACCTTAACTCTTCCCAGACACATGGTAATCTTATGTTCACTTCATTTTATCATCGCAATTTGACGTGTATGTCTAATAGTAACGCTATCTTAAACAAATAGAACTGGTTTATTATGAAGATTTATCATTAGAGTGGAGACAATATATAAGTATTACACTAATACACTGTTATAGTATGCGGGTGTTTTTGAAAAACTCGAGTTTGTGATCATAGATTTTGATAGCATGAAATAATCCACTTGTCATATATATATATATATATATATATATATATATATATATATATATATATATATGACAAGCTATTCTATCATTTGACAGGATAGCCCATTGAATTATATTTAGTGAAACCTTTCTAGTTGAAATTAAAGTATTTTTGTTAAACACTTTTACAAAAACTCACTATCCTGACTAAATGCTAGTTTTCATTAGTTAATCTGAAGTTCATGATGTCACAGACATTAAGGGCTCAACAACGTTGTTGTTGAGGATCTCAATTGCAGTCAAACCAAAAGTCAGCAAGAAAGGATTTTAAGAGTATAGTTGGAAGATGGTCGAAGTATTGAGAAGTGTGTGATCGAAATGAACTAGTTACTTTGAATTCTCATAGTATGTCCAACATTAAACTCAAAATTTGAGTTCTGTCTGTTCATGTTAACTGGGTAAAAAATCGTGAAGGACTATTTCGGATTGTATTTTTTGACCATGCTTCTACAGACTGGAGTAAAATGTAAAACTGTAGACAGCAAACTAGTTTACGTCTGTGGCTTCTCATTTAAGTGTTATACAAATGGCTGAATAAATTCGGTAGTACAAAATTATAGGAAATACGAAAGGAATATTAAGGAGGAATTCAAAATAAACTCGAGTTTATTTCACACAAACAAAAAGACGTAAAATTACTATTTTCCCCTATTAAAGTAAAACTGAATCACTAAACAGCATTGATAATACTTTTTAATAATCATGGAGCAGTTTCGTGGAAGAGAGATTCCTACGCATATATCACTTAAGATCTTAAAAATATTTTAAAACCGTAGACCTCATGAAGGGCTTATGAGGCAAGAAATTATATGACAATAAATGCGTTATAAAGGGGAATGGTTTGTAATTAGCAATAACAACTAAGTCAATGTTGGTTACGCTTCGAGAATACTTTTCAAAGTTATTTTCTTTTCTTCATGTAGCATAAACTACCGTTAACATTCCGTTATTTTTCTAACTATTGTTCCTGTGATTATGTTTAGCGTGATACACGGTAAAAGTTGCCGTGAATATGTTGAGTGTACTTGTATAAAGTATAACTGATCAAGTAAACACGAAGAGAGTACTGTTTTTTGTGAGAACAGAAACAACAAACAACCTACTTATCATAATTAACCACTGTTTATAAAATGATGGGCAAAAGCAATCTGATTCTACTTATGTTGAACAGTAAGATACAATGTCAGTAAAAATGAGTGCTGAAATTAATCATCATGTATGTACAAACATTTTAGCAGAATAGCATGAATTCATTTTTATTTCGTTGGTTTTCGTCAGCTGCTTACAACCTGTGATATTTAAAATAACAATCACACAATGGGTTAAAATTACTTACATGAAAGAGGTTGGTTAGAAGTTATATTGAAGACATATTTGTATAGTATAGCAAGGATGTAAATAAATTGAATTGACTGAATATTGTAAATATATACCTTATGTAAAAGAACATTGTGACAACAGCTCAAACTACTAGAAACAAGTAAACATTGATAGGAATAAAATGAGTAGAGTTCAGTTGATAAAATAAAATTATTAATTTGAAAGATAGTTGGAATAAAACTCATTTCCTAGGCATCTCAGCTTTACAAGAAATATTTTTGAATCTATATTCGGTCACTTTTCTTTGACTTTCTGAAGGGTCCTTAGTTTGCCTTTATTTTAAAAAACAATAGTGAAAATAGGCCGAGCAATGTGCTACGGTTTTTTTCAACTAACATCAAGATAGCACATTGTCAGAATGATTGTATTTTTAAATTACAATTCATATATTTCATCCAAGGATCTAATCGGTAGTCTCAAAAAATATGAAAGATAAGGGAGAAATACCGGTTAAAAATTTACTCATGACCTAACGTCATTACATTGAAACACTCCTACATTGGTGAAAAAGAAGAAATATATGACGCTTATGCAGTGGTGAGTGTATTACTGAGCGATTGCTCTGCATTACTATGTGGTTGTCTTGAAATCTGATATTATTTTGTCCTTTATTCATAGATATCATTTCGTTTTTTATTCATATTTGCCGGTTTAATCTTACTGTTTTCAACGCTACTATTTTTGTGATTCTTGCCACTTATCTAGTTGACTTCTGCCAAGTCAATGTGGCTCGAAAACCTGATGTAATGCGGATTTGTGTCAGGTTCCATACTGATGGTGACTGGCTAACTAACACATACGTCGAGTTTATAAAATTTGCCTAGGCTTTTTATGTGCAAAACACGAGTTTGTTTGCGAAATATTGGTCAAAACAAATGAAGGTGATCATAAACATTAACAAGTTTTTTGATTCAGACTCCTAAGCACCTGTTTAAGGAATAAACAGGCAATTATTCTGGGACTCAAAAATCATATGAGAGATATTCATCATATTCATATGGTTCACCAAACAAGATCAATCAGTTTCTACATCTTAAGTAGTTTTAAAGATTCCTTTAAGTGATAAAAGCGTGTGAAATTCCCAAAACTTGGACATCTTTACAAAAGCTGTTGAAACGTTTGTCAAATAAAAGTAGACAACTTGTACTTGTTTTTATGATAGTTAACAACAATACCCGAGATATTCTTACTTCAGAGAATTAGGTAATATATTTCACCAGTTAAACAAGTTGTCATTAATTTAAACTGAATTCATCTTGTTAGCGTTACTATATTTACATGGATATGGTTTTATAGTACAGTGATATTACAAACCATTCCATATTGAGTGAAATTCATGTACATAGTATGATATAGTAAATATTATTTTCTCTTCTGATATTTATCAGCTATATTTAGGTTATAAAAGATGTATAAAATGTACCAAAACTTAGCTTTATAACAAAAATATACTATAGTGATTAAAGCTTACTTTGATTTTGCCACCAATATAAGTCGATTTTCCTGGAATCAAGTAATTCAAGTTGAGTTACATCTATTGTAAAATTCAAATAGGTGTTTTTATAGTCTATATATTTAGAAATATGTTTTCAAAGCCGAGCTGTCTCTTTTAATTTTACATATAAGTTGTTTACAGTTTTACTAAAAGCTATGAGACTAATGGTTATAACTTCGTTAACTGTTACGAGTAAAACTTACAAAATATGTTGGACGTTTAAATAAAATACGTCCAATCATGAAATATCATGGTCACACATGGAATACAAAACTTGGCTAAGTGTTTCACATGTAATCGATAGTGAAGGGTACAACGTATGAAGCCGAGTATGTGTAAAGTACATAGGTATGTTGAATAAGATGCAATGTAATCAGTTACTTTGGCTAGATCACAATGCGCAAGCGTTTTACCTCGAGAATAAAAAAACCTGGTAACTGTTGAGCCGCTATTATCCATTTTTCACTAATAGATTCAATAACCTAATGGTTTTGTATTGCTTCTAACCATAAATCCATTTTTCGTCTTCACTCCAAGAAGAAAAGTTGTTGAGGTAATTTTTGTTATAGTATCACATTATGTCCATCTAGAAAAGGATCAACATTTTAGCGATAAATCCTAGATTAAAATAGAAGCCATACATTATTGGTCTATTAAAACTAATAAATTAAGAGTTTCTTGTTGACTTACAGTTTAATTGGGATAACCTAATACCAGATGAAAACACTTTACTATTCCGTTGTGTTAAATAACTGTTTAAAATAATTTCGGTTTACGATGTAAATCATCTCTCCAACTACAGTAGAGATTTTTCAATAGCACAGTTAGTTACGGGGTAAAAAGTGACCACATAATTTTCCTGCAATTCAAAGACCATGATTGTAAATATTGATAGCTACAGTATATCTTTCGATATTCTAAATAGACCTTGCCGATTTTAGGTAACTACTGGCATCCGAAAGAAATTGGTAATTGTTGGTGATGGAGCCTGTGGGAAAACATGTTTACTCATTGTTTTCAGTAAAGATCAATTCCCAGAAGTCTACGTCCCAACAGTATTCGAAAACTATGTGGCTGATATTGAGGTTGATAATAAGCAAATAGAACTAGCTTTATGGGATACCGCTGGTCAAGAAGATTATAATCGCCTTCGCCCATTATCCTACCCAGACACCGATGTAATTTTGATGTGCTATTCTATTGACAGGTAAGGTTATTAGGACGGTTTGATTTTATATTTCGATCACCAGAGTACAATATAACCTTGTATCAATTGAATTGATTTTGGTTTGGTATGGACGTTATGTGTAAATGTGAACTAATTAAGTTTACTGGTTCAGTGAAATCTGAAATAAGTAGTCACATTATTTGTGCGTAAAATCTTCCAAAAGTATTATTTAGAATTCAGACAACTAATGAAAACAGGTAAAATTTCATAATAAAAAACTGTGAATTAGATGAGTTGTAAACAGGAGATTTTTGATTTTGTGACCCGGAACAAGGATAGGCTCACTTTTCAATACCAAAGCAATCATGCTGAACGTTTAAAGATTGTTTGGAAAATTATGAATATGGTTTGGTATAACATTAAGACATTCATCAATTCTAACACACTCAATTTGCCTACTGTTTCAAATTCATATTTATGTATAAATGTTTATTTTTCCTAAAATTTTACCATTACTATGATTGGGTTTGCAAATTTAGGATCGGGTGATCTGTTTAAAAATATTTTTCATATTTCTGTATCTAGATATGACCAAAACTCAAATAATAATAAATCTTATTATGTATAGATACAATATGCCAGGAAGAGTAAGTCAACTTGATTATATTCACTTCTAGTGCTGCTAGCAAGAAAATCAGACGAATAAATTCAATTATTTATATATACTAACGTTTGTATTCAACTAATGAATTAAATGGTGTCATTTTGTAATGTTAGGAAGAAAAAACAGCGACATGGGGTTGAAAACATGTTTATTTGACACTTTCATGCTATATACTTAAATCACAGCGTGAAATTGTTGTGGTGCAAGGTTTCTTTGGAAGTCAATTTCCCAGTTATTGATTGTTGGGTTCATTTCATAAAATATTCACTTTGGTAAATGTGATAATAATCAGGGCTTAGTTACCCACCTGATAACTTCAACAATGCCATAAATGGTACGGAAAGTAAGTCTTCAGAAATGAACTTATTTACGTCCTGGTTAAAGAATAGAGAAAGTAATGCTTCAATGCCTATGTATTTGTAAATAATTAGCTAGTCAGCAGGAGATATCTCAATTTAAGCTACTTTTTGTGGTTGTAGTCACTTGGTTAGAGGGTATAATAGCAGTGCACACTTATCTTACTTCTTACAATAATTAGAAGAAATGTCATTTTGTTCATTCTCTTTAATGTTATGACTAGTCCTGACAGTTTATCTAATATCAAAGAGAAATGGATACCGGAAGTTAAACATTTTTGCCCAAACACACCAATTATATTGGTTGGCAACAAGAGTGATCTCAGATATGACGATAAAGTTATCAATGAACTTGCCCGTTTAGGTCAACATCCAGTTACATCTAGCGAAGCAAAGGCAGTGTCTGCTTATATTGGTAGGTTCAATATAATTTAGAAATTGTTTCAACGTTTATTCAAAGTTTCATTCAGTTGATCAGTAATCAATACAAGCCTAACTATTAGCAACTCTTTAGTTTATTATTCACACAGTATAACTAAAAATGTAGATTGACTTATTTTAGTTACAAAAGCGCATATTTATCTTGTAAATGGTCCTATAACTAAAGCGGATTAATTTATCACTCGGGTGTTTTAATAGAAATTTATTACTTCTATTGTAAGCATAGATCTAATAGAGTCGTATGTTTTAAATTGCTGTGAAGCTTATCATCCGTAGAGTATACCTTGTTGACAATCACCGAGAGTCCTTAATGATAACTAAAAATAAACTATGGGCTTCACTCAACAGATATTTATATAGTTTAATCTTATGTAGTCGTTTTAATCGGATTTAAGTCGGCAATCAGTCTGCTAAAGTTTCATTGTACAAGAACATGCTTTTATCATGTTAATTAATATTAAAACCACTTAATGAAAAGTATTATAAACTGATTAATTTGTCAATACTTAGTGTACCTCCAGACAATTCGAACAATATGATAAACTGAGCTGTTTAAAAAAAGTGCAGTTATTTTGGCTCTGTACTCATGAGATGATTTATTTAATCAACCCATTTTTTCAGGTACTGATTTACGTACATAGTTTTGAACCACTTTCTATATTATGAGCAAAGATGGATAGTGGCTAGCAGTGGAATCCAGGACACGCGTTTCGTCCTATTTGGGATTCGTCAGCTGGATGTACCTGCATCTCAGAGTTGATGTTCACTCTGGGACTCGAACCCAGTACCGTCCGCTTCAAACGCCATCGCGTTATCCACTTAGCTAGATTCAAGTAAAACAATATCACTTTCTAAATGTTAGAGTTAATGAGATACTACCTGATTGCCCAAACCATAGTTGGTCGAGTGGCGGATTTGAACTTGCGATTGTATATATGTCACCAAGTTTGTTCTTATTTCATACTTTTCACTTTTCGAAATTACTTTTTTCCTTTCTTAGTTATTTCATTTGTTTTCTATTTTTTCATTATAATTCCGACTTTTGTTCTTTCCGTCTTAGTAATTTCTCCATATTTTTACTGAAATGTTAAGTGTGGTAACTGAAGAGTTCCTGTCTATGATGGATGAAGGGAGATTAAGTCAATGATCACAAACATAATCAGTGATAATTTTTGTGTTAATCGGTGTTCATGAAAATAAGCCATACTAGGTATCTTATATGCCTAATCATCGTTATTTTTAAAGATTGTAATTGATGCGTTTCAGCAAATAGATTTAATAACGTGATACCTTCAAATATAAAGGCTATTTACGCCAAAGTTCTATTCGTTAATTAAGCGTTACCATCTAATAGATGATTAGTGATATTCAACACTTTCTTATCACTATCTGAACAGCTTCACTCTACGTCCATTTTATATCTTGAAGCTAGAGCTCCTAAAATTTTCTTCCACCTCTTACTTTCCGCTTACGATGTATACAGATTACTTAGGAGAAAGCCACACAATCAACTTAAAACCATGGAATTATCTGCAACGATAATAGGAAACCGCCAGAATAGGTGTTTGTTTGCATATGTTCACAGAAATGTTTATTGTTAATACCTACTTCACTCTATAGGTTCATCAGTCCGTCAGTAACTCAGTCATTGATAGCGTTTGGTCTCGTACAAATGTGCATCAATCTAAGTTACCACATATCACATCACTATCTCAAAAGAAGATAATAATATAATGAGAAGCAGATAAGTGGTAACATTAAATATTCTTCGTACTCAAAAGCTGGAAGATGGTTGCGCAATTTTATGAATTTGTTAAACATGTATACTATTGGATGGCGGCTCAATAGTTTAAAGGTTGAGCAATTGACTGTGAAACCGAATGTTCTGGGTTCGATCCCTTGTAGCTTTATTGTGAGTATACACTGTTGATAAGTTCCATACTGGGATGAAACATGTGTTCAGTGCTCCCTAGTTCTCAGGGGTTATTTAACAAAGATCAGCTTGTGACGTCAATCATAAAATTAAAAATCCCCGTAAATATTTTTAGTATTGTTTGAGTAAATTAGAACAATGAGCAATACTACCAGTCAATGTTTATTTTCTATAATTTCTGTTGTTTTTTTGCTTCATTTAATTTGTTTTATGTATTTATTTTGATAAATTAGGCGCTTACGGAGAAATTGAATGTTCGGCAAAAACCAAAGAAAATGTACGTCAAGTATTTGAATTAGCTTCTAGAGCATGTTTAAAAATACAGAAAAAACATAGAAAAAGTTACAAATTATTTTGAACTTTACTCTTCTTCATTTATTTTCTATCTTCAATAGATAATTTAATAACATTATTTACCTAATATTAACTTATTTATTTCTGGCTAGCAAGTGTTATTAAAAAGTGTTTCTTTCACTTTGAGACGATGGATAAATGAGTGAACACAAGAAAAAGTTGTTGACTTCCTTCTCACATTCCTACTTTTAATCTTCAGTTCATATTGTTCCGTTGATACTTCTGCATCTAGTACCGTTCGCTCTAGGCTGTTACTTCTTTTTGTAGTGTTGTTTTTTATGCGGTATTATTATTATGTGTACTTTATTTATTCTATTTTAAGAAAATTGATCTTTTTTTATCAACAACTAATGTCGATATGGGTATGTATCTATCTATGTGTTAGTTTGCATTACCCATTTAATGTTAATCATTTGTATATCTCATTTCAAGGCTTATTGTTCTTTAGAATGAACAATTATTTGTACAATGAATTATTTTTGATTGTTCATTGCATATGTATCCATTTTGTGCACGCGTGTGTGTGCTTGTTTTAAATTCCTAAATAAAAAAGTGTCTTATATCGGATTTTTTAAAGGTTATTTACTTTTTCTGCCAAAAATGACTATTTGTTTATGATCTGTAACTAAAATAAAATAAGTGAAGGCAGAGAGAGAGTGGTTCAAAGTATGAGGACTGAATTGGTTTTCTAATGATTTGCTACAGTTGATAAAGTGTTATTTTAATAGAGTTTTGTTCTCTGAGCTGGATGGTTTAGTCGTAGAGCTTTCATCGTTCTTCTGAACGACATCATCAGCATAAACTTCAGGTAGAAGTTATTGTGTTGAGTTATACTTATGTGACTTTTCAGCGAAAAGAAAATTTCAGTAAACAGACACTTTTAATATTGATTCTGAAGAAGTTTTATTTAAACGTATTGACATTTTGTAATAATTAAACATTTATAGTTTCGTATTATGGACTAACCGGTTTGAATGAATGTATATTGACACACTTTGTCAAGAACAATATCAGCATGATAATAGCTATCACTTTTTTGACGTAGTTGTAATCGTTTATCTAACTCGGTCACACGTTTTTGTAGCAACTTTAAATTTTCTTTCTTGAAACAGTGGAATTTTCGAGATCTTAAAGTTTTACGTGATTGGATTTATTATAAAATGATTTATTCTTAATACTTATTTTCATGTCTTTTGTTTAGGGTTTTTTATTAACTTGTTGTGATCTATTTGTATTAAATAGTTTAATGTAAATTTTAAAAATATTGAAGATATACACAACCTTTAGAAATTTTTGTTGAAGATCCTTTGGTATTATAGATATTTTGTACATCTTTACACTAACACTTCGTGATCATCAAAACGATTATCTGTTAGCATTTTTTAAAGCGATCATCTATGGTTTCTTTGTTATAATTTAGTATTATGAATAATAGAAATAAGTCGATACATCCATCTGATGGATCACTTTTAAAGAACTAACATTCTTTATACAACAATGTATTTGGTACACCAGATACTGTGCACTAATATCATTTCGATCACAAGTAAACAATATTCACAATTCATCACACTATCTTCTTAATTAAGTCACCTTTCCCTAATCCTCAGTAAAGTTTAGCCAACTAAGATAAGCTAGTGATTAATTATAAATAAAATATACCAGGTAAAATTACCATGATAGGGAGACGGAGGTGTGTTTGTTTTCAGATTTAATCACCATCGCTGTTTACAAAAGTTTGTCGTTTAACTATTGTCATAAACAAAAACAGCTGGCCATTCTGCTCTTTACTCATGACAATTACTTCTTAGATTTGAATTTATCCTGATCAAAAATATATGCTTCTGATATGATCTATATTTTTCTGTTGTTTAAATGAACATGGAAATATTTTCAAACAAAGATTACGTATAGCATTCAAAAAACAGTTAATTTGAATACGCGCTAATTACGAATTATCAATGACCAGGAACTCCATTTGAATATGCTCTTAATTTGCCATAAAAATTTGTTTTAATACCTGATACCTTAGCGTAAAGTTTGAGAATGTATCATTATTTCCAACCATTTATACTGAGTCACTAAGTATTAGCATTCTAGTTATTTCAGGATTTTTATTAAGTTCACAGATCTCTTCACAATAACTGTCATACGTTTACTGATCAACTGTGGACAATGAAAAACAATCTTAATGTTAAACATTTCTCACCAAAGTTTACTTAGTTAACACGGACGACATATTCTTTTGGTCTAAACAATGATCTATGTTAAATAATAGATGTGAAACGAAGTTTTAAAAATCCAGCTCTCAAGGTTAATTTTGTGGAAAGAATAATTGGATAACTATTGAGTAATAATAAAACCTTAATCAGACAGAAATCAATTAAATATTGGATGCTGACAGTTTGAATTATATAGGCATTGAAATAAATTTATTTTATGGATAGTTTGAGTCTCCCAGTTGATGTTGTGAACTGCATTCGATCACTTTCCTTTGGCATATGTGCATCCGATGCGGATTGCCATTAATTCACAAGTATTTGACATACAATCAGTTGTATATACTTGCACCATTGTTAGTGCTCACACCAGGACTCGGACCAAGTGCCTCTCGCTCCAAACACCCAACTTAGCTACTAGTCTGAATGGTCATTGGCTTGTACAACAGCGTAAATTTCAATCCATTTATATTGGCTGGTTAAAAAGTTCTGTTTAAAGCCGTTACGATTAAGTGAACGTAAATTGTTAATAATAATTTAAAATGGATAGAAAAAAGTAAGAGCAAAAACAGTACAGTAGAAACAATTAGTAGATAAGTTTAAAACCAACTTCCTGTGATCTGTAACCAACATAAATCATACTGGAACTCAGTTTTAGTATGATGACAGGTTATTTTAAAAGTACACTGATTTCTAGTTTTATTTGCATTTCTGATGTTCATAAAAACGAAAATCATTAAGCAAAGATGGATTATGTCTAGCAGTGTGACAATGTTTTTATCAGCGTAACGATGATGTGAAGCATGAAAATAGTTGTTAGTGAATTGCTGTAGGTAATTCATCTTCAAATATTCTTATGATTCGAGTAAAAATAAATGAGTCAGAAACTTCCATAAGTATATCGCTAGAGTTTGTTACTGCTAATTTCTTTGGTTATATGAGTTATTTGTAAATAGACTCTAGGAGAATGAACAGGAAAATCTACAGTAAAGAATGTCTTCAGTAATCATAGATCCTTTCGTTTAATTCTTGGTCTCGTGTTACTTTCTAATTGAAATCTGATTAAGGAATTACTATGTGCCAATGATTGAATGTAAATTTACCTTAGATAAAATATCACAGCATAACAGACCATTCCCATTCACTCAAAAAGTAGGTTTTTATACTAAAGCAATCGCTCCAAATCCAATCATTTAGATCAATCATATTAATACAAAATAATAGCATTCCATTTATAACTTATGTTGTTAATTATATTCAATATTAAGAGTTCAGGTAACGTACAAACTATACTCTTCTATAGATTGTTTTTATTATTCGTTAGTTTAGTAATATGAACTATATGATTGGTTGATTGAATAACTGATCAATAGAAGTGATCAATATAATTGTGAATATAGTCATTGGTGAGTGCATCATTTAAAAATTGATTCCAGCTTTTATTTTAGTGGTGAAATGTAGTTTTCATTTGTAAGTTCTTTGTTTTTCATTTTTTCATTTTACTTTATTTTTAAGTGCTGATAGATGAGGAAATGTTCAATAAAAAAGAAAATCCATGTAGAATACTCGCATTAACTACTGGATCGTGTTTATTGAAAAGAAGAAGCCTCAATTAATCTTTATCTTCAAAATATCTATAGTAAATTGTCTTATGATTTGTTTATTTTACAAGTAATTTCTATGAAGAATTACTACCGGCTGAAGTACTGCCTGAATATTTCATCTTGGCTTAGTACTGTAAAGCAGTATGTGCACAAAAGTTTACGAAAGGTCGAAAAGTCTCATACTATGATGATATATTTGTTCTTAAATCTTTGAGATTACATGGCTTTGCGAACGGCGTCAGATTGTAGTTAAAATGAGTCCTTCTTAGCATGCAAACACTTATTAAAATCTTTCATTCAATTGTTGCAATATCATTTTAAGGCCTAATGATTAAATACAGTGATTATTTTATTGAATATTAGATAATCGAAGTCTTTCACCAGGAAAAGTTGAATCTGAGCTGTATCGAGACTACATCACTTAAAAACTTAAGCCAATAGTACTACCACTTTTGTGTTCTTTTTCTATTACAGCTGACCAAACAAAGAAAATTATGATCTTTATAGACTTTTTGATGATAAATAATGAGCTTGAAATTAATATCTACAAGAAAAACACATTGAGGAAACATATACATTCCATAGGTTGAAAATTTGATGGAGGCCGGTGTATTAGGACTTACTTGAAACCTTACTCCGTCCACTTGCTTTTCACGTGCTTTTCACACTCCTTGCCACATGAAGTACTTTTAAACTAGACTCAAATCTACCAAAGGCTAGAAGTTATGAATGGGTTTCTGCGTATATTTTAATTCGAGTTTGTTGATAAAAGCCTTCCACACGCTCTGGGTTATCTCGATGAAGTAGTTGATTGATCTCCTGAATAGGAATCTTATATATCGATAGCAGAATAAGATGAGTATCCAACGCAGAAAATTCTCTGGTGATGAACTTTCGACTCTACGCGAAAATCAATTCATAATCTAGATATCATTAACGGAGCTCCAGTCCATTTTCCAGTGACGGAAGAAGTAAGTTGAAGCATCTCAGTAGATAGCAAAAAAAAAGGTTGACAAGGGTTTTTAAATGGCGCCGATTTAAACTCATTTGTCGTATCTTGAGCTATTTCCAGACGAATTAACAACCGATTAATTTTTTCAGTCCCATATGAATTTGAAACCAGAATCGATGAAATTTCGAATGTCACTCAAGAGATTAATAAGCATGATGACAAAATTATTAGGTGCTCAAATCCAGCATTTATTAGTCAGTTCTGTATTTCACTGATTCCTTGCAATGTGTTTATGATGCCTATTAACGTATCTACGTAATATCATATGGCGTCTGTGAGTCGCAGAAACTGTAGAATATTGCCATTTCTAAGTTCATCTTTTAATAAGAAGATACATTGGTGCAATAAATTTCGGTTTATAGGAAAATTATTAAGGTCAAACTATACAGATTAAAACATCACAACACTATACAATGTACCGAAAAGATAGTAATACCATTGCTCCTTAAAATAAATAACACTGTGATCTATAATACCAGAGTAGATTTAACGTGATCATAAATATTCTTCTAATGTACAAGTAGGATGCTGTAAACTTTCATACGTCGATGACTTCAATAAATCTGGAAATTCGTCTGAGATTATCTCTATACAACATTACAAATGTTGAGTTAAGATCAGTCGTATAGAAGAGGACGAGTGTTCATCAACCGCTCTTATCGATATTTAGAATCATTTATTTATACAGATATAAATATCTTACAATATTAATACGTGATTAGTCTGTTCGAAACGTATTA